TCAGACCCTATTCAGAATTAGATTGAATAGAAATTGCCACCTTTACTTACTGCGGAAAATCTATTATGATCCATTAATTTATGCAGTGGAAATCAAGAACAGGATATTAGCCTAAAGTTCAACTAGCCCTTTTACTATTGATTTATTTAGTAGAAATTCCATCAATTGCTATAAGTTGATCATATATTATCTCATTATTAAACATTATAAATAATTTTAAAACCACCATATGTTATGGCTGCTGCAGTTGGAATTCTCAAATTTAGATAATACAAAAAATAAAACTATTATACTAAAAGAATAGAGACATATATTTCTTATATATTGTAATTATTTCCATTTTCTTATGATGAGCTAAGAGCTTATTCATACTAGTATCATACTTTCTTCTTCACATTAGAATTTTGGAGTGAGAGTGAATTTTGTATAAATGTTCGTGTTTGATTTTTGATTTTTGGATTATTTTTTTTGTTTTTCTTTTTTTTTAAATAAAATAAAATTTTTTTCTATTTCGCTAGGAATTTTCAGTCTTTTTTATAAGAAATTTTTATTAACAGATTAATGATATTATTTTTCTTTTCGAATTCCTAAAAATAAATTTGCTTAAACGGAACAAATGGAACAATTACATAAAAAAAAGAGTTTTGTCATCAAACGCGTATTGTTGTTGTTTTGAAATTATTGTTAAATAAATGACACCATTGCTTTTGTTACTGTATTCCTAAAAATAAATTTGCTTAAATGGAACAAACGGGACAATTACATAAAAAAAGCGGTTTGTCATAAAACGCGTTATTATTAAGAAACCTTCATTTATTGTTGTTTTTGAAAAAAAGAAAATTATATTATCATTTACTTGTTATTGTTAAATAAATGGTGCCATTGCTTTTGTTACTGGCTGTTTTTGCCTAATCTGTTTATCGATTTTTGAAAAGCTATAATTAATTAATTAGTCAGACATTTATGTAACATTAAAATTTAGATCGGTTCTTTTTTTTCCTTGCTTTTGTTAAAATTTATGAATAAAAAAAGACTTCGGATTAAAATTTTTGATACGGCTGATTTATAATTAATTAATTTGTTAAAAAAAATACTTGTTTCACTACTATGACTCATTTTTTTTTTAAAAAAAAAAAAAATTATGGTAAAGGATATTAGATTAGATAAGGGATATTACATTTGTGCAATTTTAAAGTAAGGGAGACAAAAAAAAGGTCATCATATCGCAATGCTTTTAAGATGGTAAATATGGTTTATTTTGAATCTTAAACGCAGGAAAATTTGCCTGCAATTTACCAAAAATTTGGAGCTCATCATTTCTTTAGATACTCTATTTTTCCAAATGTTTATAATGACATATTACATGGTTCATTTTTTTTAAATATATATTTTGAAAATCGATTAAAAAATACCAGCATATATTAATGTTTCCAGCAAAATTTTTAAATTTCTTTATTGTTAATGTTAAAATCTTCCAAATGCAAACCTTCTCTGTTAACAATTATTTAATTTGCTCTAAAGAAAAAAAAAAGACCAAAAATTGACTAGGGCGTTAATAAATTAAGTTGATAATAAATTTATTGTAAATTCATATAAGTGCTTAGGATGTTGTATAATATTGAAAGAAAGTGCAGATGAAGATTATGTAATTAGAAAAACTTAATTTACCAATTTATTATGACCGACCTCATAACATTCAAACAGTCGAACCCCTCTGGTGCTACTCAACTTCTGGCCTAGTATGGAACGCATTATTCTTAATGACGGGGCAAAAGCTAGCTCATAAGTCATGTGTATATTATATGATGGTTGAGTAAGGGCTCAGAAATGGGTAAGCAAGCGATATGGCAAATAATCCTGGTATGGGCGAAGATAGTTTATCATATGAATACATAATACAACTATGGCCCATTCCTCTACCTCACTCTTTGCCTCTTTCTCTAATATTCTCCTTAATTTCTTCAATATAATATCTAGCTGCAAACATTTCATTCTTCGTTAGTTTCCACAATTGATACCGTATTGGAGCTTTTAAATTTTATAATAATTATCAGTTGTATTTACTATACTTGTAAACTTGTTGCTCTACTCAGAACCATTTATCGTTATTGGAGTTATTTTTGGTTTCTAAGTTGTTTAATCATTTTATAATCTACCGCTTCTCCACCCCATTAGGTAAATTATCTAAATAAAATTTTAAAAAAAATCTTTGTTTGAATTAAATTTGTACAACTAACTTGCTTCTGGTTCATGACTAATTTCATTAAATTTGAAGTAAAAAGTTGAAAGTGAGAGGAAAATAAAAAAAATGTGAGACTTGAAGTTTTTTATATTGTTTTGCAGGTTAATTTCTGGTTCATAAAGTACCAGCGGAATTTTTTTTTTTAGATCAGTTTTCAGATTCATTAAAAGATGTATCAATTTGTATAAAGATAAAATAAAACATTAAGAAAAAGAAGAAAATTCAGCTCTCCAATCTACGTGTCAAAGATTATGGTAAGTGGCGAACTCAAGCGCCTGTGGAATTTTAACATTCTGGAAAAACTTTACTATTGACTACATATTATTGTAGTTTCACATTTCGTAACCTAATATACTATTTTTGACATTAATTAGCTAGTAATGTTACAAATTATAGTTTACAAAATTTGTTATTTAATACCACATTTTTTGGCCTATTTAGACCTTCTATTAAAAAAAAATAATGATAATAGTAAGTAAATAAATAAATAAAACACTTACCTTAGACCGGGTAAATAAAATTTTAGATGATGCGGACGCAAAAATTGACGCGAGCCGGTTACGAAAATCTAGATATTTCGTTTTCTCAGCCTTATATTCATTTCTCATTTAAAACGCCTTATATTTCATCTTCGCAATCCCTATGAAAAAAAATTTCTTTAAAATATACTTAAAATGTAAATGTACTTATAATATACTTAAAATTGCAATTTTAAGTATATTTAAAGTATAAAATTTTATACTTAAAATACATTTAAAATATACTTAATTGCAATTTAAATATAATTTAAGTATAATTTAAGTGCAAAATTTTATACTTTAAATATACTTAAAATTGCAATTTTAAGTATATTTTAAGTATATTTTAAAATGTTGAGTATATTTTAGGTATATTTTAAAATATATAAGTATATTTTAAGTATATTTTAAAAAATACATAAGTATATTTTAAGTACATTTTAAAGAATTTTTTTTTTATAGGGAATAACATCACCGACAACATCAGATTTATTTTCGAGTTTATAAAATACCTAAAAGAAAAGGCTACAAAATTAATAAACCATCTTCCGGAGCTGGAGACTATCATAATAGCCAAATATTTCAAATATTTGAATGAATGAATGAATTTATGGAGAAACAACAAAAATGAGAGTAGGTGCCATTAATTTAAAATATTTGTAAATACAGTATATTACGTATATTAATTTTAAATTTGATCTTTAATTAATTGGATTAACGAATGTTTTTATCTAATGAAACATTCATGATTCGTAAACTCCGAATTATTCTTTTTACTTTTAGAAGCTCATTTACTATAATGTTATCCGATCTCCTCTTATCATAAAAGACTTTATTATTTAAAAAGTCCATCTACTCCCATTTATAACTTTATTATAATAAAATGTTATATTACGTATTAAGATTATTAAAATAAAAGGCTCCTCTGATTTATTGGGACTGAGCCACTGAGGATAATTATACAAGAAAAATTTCTAGAAAATTTGATAAATTTGATGAATAGGGCAGGGCGTACATGTAACAATAATTATCCCAATTAAAAAAAATATATTTTTACCACAATGAAATACGTGAAATATCTATAGTTTTATTTTTCTTATAAGATTCTTAATTGAAGTTTATGATCTTATATATCTTAATTTTAACATAACAATATTTTCTTATAAGTTTCTTAATTATCTTAAATACCTTAATTTTAGCATAATAATATTTTCTTATAAGATTCTTAATTTTTTTGACCATAATCAAACTAATCAAACTGACGGTACTTTTCCTTTATCTAAAATGATTTCAAATGCTAAATTTTTATTAAAAAAAATTAATGAAAAATAAAATAAAATGAAATGAAAATAATGTAAAAATACAAATAGAAGAATGACAAATTTTTGTTTCTCCAAAAAAATTCACGTAATGTAAAAATCACATGATATAAACTTGTTTTGAATTCCTTTTTTTTACTCGATACGAAAGTTTATCGTGGATTGCTGGATGCTTAGATATAAACTCGTTATGTCGTATTATCTCCCATATCCTTTCCAGTCGTTCTTAGCTCAGATAAGTTTTTCTACTTTTATTGCCTCGATTGCTACTAAGAATGATAATGCTAACAATCTTGCATCATCAAACGTTGTACAAGATATCTTGATATGATTGCTCTTTTGCAAGTATCCCTAGCCTGATAGCATGAAAGAGAGCATGTGCTTTACCGTACCTGTAGATTAAATCATTCAACATGAATGTGAGAATCTACGGTTGACTAGAGGATATGATAGAGACAGGTCAATATATTTAAATACGCTTGTGTAAATATAAAGTACGATTAACAAATCATCCTTGAATTATAATATTTACCTGTTTAGTTGCAAATGAAACTTTATTGGTATGATATAAAATTTTTGTCATTGCCTAGTATGAAGTTTTCTTTCAAGAAGACGCAACTTCTAAGGACACTTTTACCATTAAATTCTGAGGAAGTGGTAGAAGTTTAATTTAATAAAATTGCAAATGGTCTTGATTAATTTGAGATAAAATTAAAGGTGATATTTATTTAGTACCTGCTATACCGATACTGATCCACTATCGGTGAGCTCAGATTTAATACATGATCCCAAGAATTAATAGTCTGTAATATGATACATACAGAACACTCCCAATATATTAATTTCTAAAAATAAAAGTAGATATTTGTATAAAATATAAAATGTGATTAACCTGATTCCTGATTAACCTAAAATATTTACCTGCTTCATCACAATCGATTATTGAAATTACTTCACTTCACTTGGTGTAAATTTGACTCTTCGTTTCGTCCAAAAATTAAACCAAGAATCATCATGTGATCGCTTGTAAAGAAGCGATAAGACTAGCTGTTGGTGATAAAGTGGACGTTTAAAAAAAAGAAAAAAAAAATTAAACGAATGTAAATTAAAAAAAAATGACTTTCTCTACGCTAGATTCTTATGAAACCTTCATATAAGATGACTTACTTGTCTAAAATGTCTGATATTAGTAAATTTCCTGCCGTTTGTTGTGTTGTTTCTCCTTTCTTTCATAGTTTTGTGACCCCACTTCTAATAATTTAATCAATATTGATTGTAGGGTTGTAGTCATGTAGGATAGAGCATTGTAATGAAGTGTATAATAAATGCGTTATATGGCTTATTGGTTATTACAAATAACCTTTTTGGTATTTCAATTAAATTTTAATCAATTATAACTTTATTTCATTTATAAATAAAGTTAAAAAAAAAATCATTTAAAAATAAAATTTAAATTTGAACTATTTATATATATGGATATTGGTTCTCTCCTAATAGTATTTTATCACAATAATTAGGAAGTTAGGTACCAACACCCTGCACATTTGCGCGAGTGCGTACAAAAAGAAAAGAAGGGGGAAAAAGGAAGAAAGGCCTACCGACTTAACTGGAATTAAATAATAAACGGTTTTGTCATTTAGTGTTTAAGGTTTAATAAAATTTAATAATAGTTTATTACTAAAACTCATGTATGGCATAATGAAGGTTAAAAAATTTATAAAAGTTAAGGCTCTATACGTATAAATTACGATATCAAAAGCAAAAAAGCAAAGATGAAAATTTTTAATTTTTTTTGTATATGTACATATATAATACATATATGTACATTTATATACAAAAAAATTAAAATAGTATATTCAAATCAAGTTATGTAACCAATTTCTTAAAATGTGATATGTTTTTTATTCAATTAACTATTTATGTAAATTATGTTACATATTTCAAATTCCGTGTGAAAATATTTTTTACAACTTGTACAACTTGTCCACAATATATATATACAGTATGTGTTGGCGCAACGAAAATCTTTTAATGCTAACCCTATTTAAATTGACATGCATATCTCACATATAATTATGAAGACTAATATATTCTAAACCGGTTTTAGACTTTATACTGATGTTTTATGAATAATATTTTAGTTATTAACACTTAAAAAATCCAAAACATTAAAAAAATGTAACATTTAAAAATCTATTTTAGAAGAAATAAAATATTCAAGGCAAAGATAAAAATACATGTCAAAAGAAAGGATTCTTAAAATATATTCATCGCCAAGTCTAAACTGGAAAATTTAAGAGAAGATTTTAAAATAAGTAAAAAAAAAATTATCAATATGAATGATATATACTAATGAATACTAATTAGTAGGAGAGGGTCAGATAATCCAGAAAAATGATTCTGTGAACGGGAAAAAACCCCTATTATTTCCAACTCCCCATGAAAATTGAAAATATTCTTTGTAGCATAAGGTAAAATTCGTATCTTTATCCGATAATAAGGTTATGATTGATAAAAAAAAATTGTTTGAATTAAAACAAGTTAATACTATGCATATTATTTTCAAATGATTCTCATGACCACGCATGTGCATAATCAAAAAGGATAAGTCTTTACTTTTTCAGCTATGTCCCCGGTTCCCGTGTCCTGGCGTAAATTTTTGTTGTACTTCAAGTCCCCAATTTTTGTAATTTTTGTAAAAATTTTTTAATTCTTTCAGATGATTTTTACCATTCGGATGAAAGTATTTTTAAAAAAGTTTATTAATATGGTTAAGGTATTCTATATTTAGATTTATTTTCTAGTATCACGACCTTATCAAAAATCTGATGTAGAAATAATTTCTTATTTCGGTAACAAAGACAGGTAAGGCGCAGAATAATTTATTTAGTCGCGTCATTTTGAGTCAAACAAGGGATCCATATTTATTGTTTACACCTGGGATCACGTGCTTTACCGTGATCAAATGTTATTCAAGATATCAAACGTGAATTTTGAAATATTTAGAAAAAACAATTTATTAATTATTTATTAAAGAAAATTTGAATCTCAATTTTTTTTATTTTTTCAGAATAAAAACTAGAAAAATGATCATTTATCAGATTTTTTTCATTAGAGGTACCGACCGTAACAAAGTTACGTCAATATTATAATAATTTATATGATAATTTTTATGATAATCAAGAACTAAATTGAACTTATTTGTCAAGGAAGATTCAATAGAAATGATATCATATCAAGTAGATGCTTTTTTCGTAGAGTAAAGGAATTGCTGCTCTACACCAAAATCAATTAACTCATCTCTACACCAAAAATCGATTTACTCATCTTATGAAAATAAGGATTAAAATACACTACAAATTCTAGCAATTTAATGGGTAATTTGATGAATTTGACTCATCCAAAACTCCTAACAAGAAGGAAGCTTAAGCGCCATTTCCTCTAATACTAGTGTCAATTAAATCTATTGACTATTCATGTTTTTGCATGGAAATGTTTAAACTCGATTTCATTTCCATTTGGAGCTCTTTTATCCTAATATCCTTCCCTTACACTATAATCACACGCTAATTCTCCTTCCTAACCCTCATCCTAATCTCCTTTCCTTACGATATTATTATGGTAATTGGCAAAATTGAATGTAATCAATCTTTCAATCGACTGCTTATTATGCAAACTGAGAAGTGTTGTATCCTTAAAGACATTTCCTCTCTAGCAAACAATGGAAAAGAATTTAAAGGAGTGTGAAAGGAAACCATACGTTTCCAAAAAGATACTGCAGAAGGATACTGCAGAAGTTAAGGCAAGATGATAAATAGATGATTCTTATAATGAATACAATAATAGAAATAATAACGGAGTCGTTTTATAGACTCCTGGTATAATCGTGTGATATTAGAAAATGGATTGGTGATTTTCGAAATCAATGGAGCAAGAAATGTTAACAGGGAATCTTTTATTCAATTTATTTAAATATCAATTTAGAGTTGTTAATATATTTTATGATGAGAGCGATGAATTTATTTAAGTGTTAATGATAATTATTAAAAAAAAAAAATTTTTTTTGGAAAATAACTGAAGACGAAAAAGGTACCTTTTTATAAGTAATCCAACAATCAAAAACGTGATTCATAAGATGATAAATTCTGATTATGTTCTATAGAGATAAAAAAAAGGGAACAATAATTCACGAAACATTAACCACTTACAATACAAATAAAATTATATATATCGTTGAATTGTACCAAATACAATCTCTAATATTCTTTAATATAACATAATTCCAGTACAATCAAATTAGCCATAAACAATACGCCGACACATTTATATTTATCAAAATTGAGGGGCCCATAAAATAAAGATTTCAATCAATAATTTAAATACCTATGTCCCGATTCACATGCAACGCTCCGGCATATTAGGATGATCATTACTTTATTCAACAACTAATAGCGTACAAGGAATTATGGGTAATCAAATCGAATTAGGAAAGAAAAAACAAAAAGAACTTTGATCAACAAATAATACGTGATAATGTATACAAGGAACTGCGGGTGATCAAATCGGGAAATAACAAACAAAAGAATTTTTGATAAGGCTTTTATTGTTTGTTTCAAAAGTTCAATAAACGTATTGATCATCCGCTTAATACATAAATTGGATTTTTGGTATGTCAAATGTAGCAGCATGTTATCATTTTATAATTTACCAATAATAATCTTAAATAATACTTTTTCTGGAAACAACAGAAATTTTTGAATATCGATTAATCCACTCTTGTTGACCATACTTGGTTCTTAGTATACCGGTTCTTTGGTATATGGATCTAGAGTATGATGAAGTTAGGCCTGGAAACACAAGCTCAAATAATGAGAATTTCAATTTTTTTTTCAAACCCCAAAATTGTTATCAAAAATCATTTTTGCATCTTTGTTATGCCGACTCACGTGACTGTACTCACCGATGATGTTCTATGCATTTCTCTCTTGGCGCTTTGCTTTTGTTTCCAGGTATTTTTTTCTTAATTCTTCCTTTTTATTTGGCCCTCCTTTATTATATATGCAGCTCCGGAAGGAGGGCCAAGTCGTCTTTTTTCACATTATTTGAAATTACACTTTTAACAACCGACATAGAGTATGTTGTTTATAAATTTTAAATGTTCCTTTTAAGCTCTTTTTTTTTCATTATTCCCAACCTTCTTTTCACCGTACCCTTACTTTACTATAACGAGTACTCGGGAATATCCATTTTACAAGTCTCAATAATGCAACTCTTATTGTTATAGTTGTATTTACTCATTATTTACTCTCTACAAATGCACACCCTCTCTAAATGCACTATTACAAAAATTATGTATATGGTCCCAAGAAGGGTGCATTTATAAGTTGACTGTATATTTTATTTCGTTCATATCAATTGCTTAATAGTCAACTTACAGTGTAATTTCAATGAAATAATTTTAAAGGGAAGGTATTGATTATTTGGTAACGAGCTACAAGATTGTGGACAAGAGTCTGGTAGAACTTTCGCAAAGGCAACATTATAAAATAGTTTAATATTATACCCATTTTTAGAACTAGGGACTAGAGAGTATATATCAGCAGGAAAATATGTCACTTTTTATCTTTTACTGCTATCACGGAAGGATAATGACGCGAAGCAATTTTTTGCTGAATAATGGATGAACGACTCTAAGTCAGGATCCTTTGCTAGAATGTGACGAAATTTCTTCACAGTTTGTGACCACAACCTCTATCTGTTAAATTTCAATTACAGTAACAAATACTAAATAGAACGACTTTCAATATATGATAATTTTAATATTTATTTTATACCAAACTTTTGGACAAATCGGTTCAATAGTACGTGTTCAGGATCCCAAACATGCTAGGGAACTGCTGCCATAGCTGGTGCCCATTTGTCGCAACATCAGTTCAATACCTAGTTTTCTTTATCGATCACTAATGTTTAAAAATGATGAATGATGATGAATGATGTTGCAGCATATAGAGCTTTTTCATCGCATTTAAAGCAATGCTTAATTAATAATAAATATATTCAGCCAGGTATCGAAGGGACTCTTTATTTATCTTTTTTATAACGGGTAATTATTTTAATAATTAATATTTATTTGTGTTATATTTATTTTAATAGGTAAAATCGTGGTTTCTTAATAAACTATTTCCCCAACTGGACGAAATCGCATGATGATAACTAGATACTTGTTTTCTGTATTTGTGATGATATCATATCAACACATTACT